AAGGGAAGATGGTACCTCAATCATGTTTCCCAGATTCCCTCCAGTGACTTCACAGGGCGTCACCCTGGTGGCTTCAGCAGTGGAGGAATAAGTGCTCTGCTGAGGCCAGGCTTGCCAGGGAACTGGACCCACTGCAAATGTCTTCAGAAATTTTTGTGACTGGAACCGTCAGTCAGATCTCAGTCTCGGGCCCCCATGGGCAAGACTGGAGATCTAAAGATGTTGGCCCAGCACCTCCCGTGTCTCAGTGCCTTCCTCTGTCAGTGCTCCCAGGGCTTCAGGCTGCAGAGTGTTTTCCTGTACCCAGAAAGAGTGGCTGTGGAGCTGTCCACACGCTGCACTCAGCAAGGACTCAGTAATGACCGTCTGCCTCAATCTTCCTGCCCTGCATGCTCCCCATGTGTCCCAGATTGCAGCCAGCGCCGACCTCATCCCCGGACACAGGCCGGAACTGCCTTGCCTCCTCGCATTGTGCTCACCTGCCTCCCGCCTCCTCCACACCCATCTCAGACCCATTCACCCACCCTGCAGGGAGAACAGTTCAAGAATAAGTGTCTCTTTAGATAGATAGCGAGCGGGTCCAGAGAGGGCAGGGGACACGCCCAAGGTCACAGAGTGAGTGAGTGGTAGAACCAGGAACAGCACCCAGTTCTACCTCCACTAGATCTTGCTCTTGTTCCCTGCTATGTGCCACTATTTCATGATTCATCAGACACATCTGGGTTCAAATCCCAGCTCTGCCACAAAACCAGGCCCCCAACTTCAGCTCAGGGAGCTTCGGTGTCCTCATTTGTAAATGAGGATGACAAAAGCATCTGAAGCAAGCGCCAGACCCCACACCTCGGCCGGGGGGCATGGGGTGGGGGCATCTGACTCACCTGTGGCTCCCGGTCCCAGCCCTGGGCCAGAAGTCTGGAGGCACCAGAGATGGCTTCCGCCCGGTACGGCAGTGGCCCACGGACCCAGGCACCATCCCAGCCCTGAACAGGGCCTTGGGACCCCATCTGCAGAGCAGGGATGGCAGCAGGGCTGTCTCTGGAGCCTACTCAGAGGACGCCAACTCAGAACACAGGATGAACTCTCTGCAGCGGTATCTGCCTTTCAAGTGCTTTCACCTGAGCCCCGCTCAGGGCTGAGCTCCACCTAGTGCGGGAGCCGTGGGCCTCGGCTTCCTCCCCGCAGCACGCTCCGCGCTCAGGTGGACCCTCGCAGCAGCCTCCTTACTGGTCCCCGCCTCCTACCCTGCGCCCGTTCTGCCGCCAGAGGGCGCTCCTAAAACACTGACTACGCCCCTCCATGTCTCCTCTTTGCTGTTGGGATAAAGGACAGCCTCTTAATTTGACCTCCTAGACCCCTCATGGTCTAGCTCCTGCCAGCCTCCTCAAAACTCAGCAATGTTCAGCTGTTGATATACCTTCACCCTGAATAATACATAGGTTATTGCCTACTTTGACTGCATACAAAGTGGCCCAGAAGCAGCAAAGCATTGTTTTAGGGAGAGGAAATTTTTACTTTAGCAAGATCCCCAAAACATGAGCTCCAGTGTACAGTGCCTGGTAACCACAGAGCATCTTAGCTAAGAGCATGGCATCTTGGCTACCTACTCAGGTCCCTCTTTGTGGGCTGTGTGACATTGGGCATGTTACTCAACCTCTCTGATTCTCTGAGGCTCATTTTCTCCACCTGTTAATTGAGGATCTCATCACAGGCCATCATTAAAATCAAATGAGATAATACAGTGCGTGAAAATACTAACCATGCTGGTATATGGAGGGAGGGCCACATCTCTGGGAAGAGCTGGTATTTTGAGGTACAATTTCCTCCTGATCATGGGGACCTTGGTAGAAGCTGCTTGGGAAGAAAGTCTTGGATAGAGGCAAAGCTTGCCTCATCCCCTTTCCTTGCCACAGCTGGTGCAGCTTGACATGGAGGCAGAGGGGTGAGTAGGGGGGCTAGCATCGTGTTATTTGTCCGCAGTCATATTTATCTTGTTGACAAAATGGGCCCTGCGTTTGGAAATTGCAAGAGGTTCCCTCATAATTTAAAGCAGTGCCTATCTCTACTGGTCACAGTGACTGGAAGATTGATTTCCCAACCAGCCTTGCAGGTGAATGCCTGTGCCAACTGGCTCTATCTGCCAGCACCTGGCTGGCAATGAGCCTGGCGCTGCCAGGAGGATGAGGGTCTCATTTGTTGCTGAAGCAGGTGGAGGGAGGGGCATCTTCAAGGTTACCTCACAGGACTGGCACCTCAGCAGCAGGTTCTGCATGCTGAGCAGGGCAGGTGCACACACACATACCAAACCCTAGGTTTTCATTGTGGGCACTTGCAGCCTTGCCATGGCCAGCTTTCTGGTAGCACATCTACCTGGGATTGTGGGGTGACCAGTGTGTCCCAAATCATTAAATCATTGCAGCAGCTGGGACATCCTGAACGGGGCAGTCCAGAGCCAGGACAGCAGTGTGGACCCCATACACTCCTGCCTTCCCCAAGGAAGGCTGATGTCTCTGATGGTTCCCAAGTCCTGCCACTGACTTCAAAGGTGAGAGGCCACATGGTAGATAGGAAGAGGATGACATTGGTTGGCTGGCCAGCTGGCTTGTACTTTATTAGAGAGAATATGGTAGCAGAGTGACCACTAGCTCAGATCTAGTCCAAGGCAAAGCCTGGTCATTGGCTCAGAAGTCACAGCATGGTGGACTGTGGTCACACTAGATGAGTAATGGCCAAAAGCTTCATTTCATGACCAGGTGTAATCACTGTGTGACGTGCTGTGTTGAAAAGCATGCTGAGGCCGCCTCCTGGGCCAAACAGGAAGAAAATGATTGTCAATTAGTAATGTCTGCCATTGGCATAGACTTAGGAAATGGTAGCCAGCATGCTATATGTTCACCCGGCCAAAGATTAGATTTCTCCAAAGATGAGGTCAAGTCAGACAATTGAAACTGATCCTCTTGCCTGGGAGAAAGAAACAGAGGAGAACCTCACTTTGTCACCTTACATCTGTGGGTCTTGAAGAAAAACGGGAACTTTAGCTTTGGGTGGCTGACAGCCAAGAGAATAAAGAGGAAACACTGACACTTCATCAAAACTCAAGTGGTTACACCCAGTCAAAAAGCAGAGAAGAAACAAATTCTATAATTTGTTAAAAGTGGGTATAGAAGTCTCCAACTATTATTGTTGTATTATCTATTTCTCCCTTCCATTTGTCAGCCTGTGCTCCACGAATTTATTCTTAGGTGCATAGATGTCTGTAATTGTTATAACTTCCTGATGGGCTGACCCTTTTATCATTCATTATAAAATGTCCCTATCGTCTTTAATGACATTTTTTTTTGTTTTAAAGTCTGTTTTTTCTAGTATTAGTATAGCCACTCCAGCTTCAAGGTTGCTATTTGTATAGTACATCTTTCCCCATCCTTTCAACTTACTTGTATCTTTGATTCCCAAGTGAGGTTCCTATCAACAGTATATAGTTGGATCTTGTTTTTCAACCCCTGCCTTTTGATTGGCTTGTCAAACCAATTTGCATTTAATGTTGTTATTGGTATATTTAGATTTACATCTGCCATTTTACTTTTTGTCTTCCATATGTCTGTCTTTTCTGTCCTCTATTTCTCCTTTTTTCTATAAATGAATATTTTTCTGTTATAAGATTTGAATTCTTTTAATGATATTTTCACTCTTCCTGTCTGTCATTTCCTTAGTGGCAGCGTCTGTGCCCCAGCTCAGTGTCCCCTCTCTCTGTCCACAGTAGCGTTAGGACCCACTATATACATCTAAGCATATCACAGTCTACTTTGTATTTATACTACCTTAATTCCAATGAGAATTAAGTTGCTCTAGCTTCTCCTACATAACTCTACTTCCTCTTCCCCCTTTTTGTGCTGTTATTGGTACACATTAGAGAGCTTCTTTTCCAGTTCCTCATGATTTAGTGGAGAAACCACGGTCCAGAGAAGGCCAGGCTTAGCCATATACTGGCTATGTGACTGTGGATGAGTCATTTCATATTTTGAGCCTCAGTATCCTCACCTATAAAATGGGAAGAACTTTATGAGCATAGCTTCAAGGATGAAGTGAGCTCTTAGCACTTAGCCCCCACACTAGTAGCTCTCTGAAAACAGCAGTCTGTGTTTGGCCCTCAAAGAATCCCAGAAACCTATCTACCCTGGCATTCTCACATCAGAGAGTCAGGAAGCATGCATGCCCAGGCAAAGCCAAGGGCAGCTCCCTCTCCCCAGTGAATGCACCTGCAAGGGAGCAGCTTACAATGAACTTCAGCAAGCAAAGGCTTGGAGCTCAGGCTAGGATGACATTCTGGCCCAGATGTGCCTCCAGGCCAGCCCCTCCTGATGAAGGCCAGTCATCTGAAGGGCCACCAGCATGGCCAGAGCTGCTGAAGGGCATGTTCATAGCTCAGGCAAAGGGCTCAAGTTTGTTCTTCACCTGCTTGTCCCTCTGTTGTCAAAGTGTGGGAGAGGCTTTTGGAGATGGTGCGGAGAAGGAATGGGAAGGGAGGGGTGGGGTGACCACAGCTGAGTGTCCAGCTTCTGATTTGCATAAGTCTAGGCCCTCACTTGGGGAAAGAGTCCTCCTACTGCTACCCAGGGAGATGGCCATCCAAACTTGGCTCGATCACCACCCAAGACAGACTCCTTCTCCTGAGGCAGCTCAAGGCCTCCCTGCCATTTCCTCATCTGGTCTCAAGGCTGGAGCCACTCACTCACTACACGCCTTTGGCACCTTTGGTGTGACCAGGCCCAGTGCCGAGCTTGAGGACACAGAGAGCCATCAAGCAGGACACCTGGAAACCATGCATGATTACATGCGACAGATGCAAAAGAGAGACTGGGACATGGGCTCTGGGAGGACATACAGGGGACCCCTTTCAGAACAGGGCCCAGGAGTGCTTGCCCCTGAACCCTATGGCTGTCCAGAGATGGGACCAGCAGTGTCTGTGCCCCAGCTCAGTGTCCTCTCTCTGTCCACAGTAGCTCGATACAACCGCACCAGCTACTTCTACCCCACGTTCTCAGAGAGCTCAGAGCACAGCCATCTGCTCGTGTCTCCCGTGCTGGTGGCAAGTGCAGTCATAGGTGTGGTCATCATCCTCTCCTGCATCACCATCATCGTGGGCAGCATCCGCAGGGACAGGCAAGCCCGGCTCCAGCGGCACCGCCACCACCATCGCCGCCACCACCACCACCACCATCGCCACCGCCGCCGCCGCCATCGAGAGTACGAGCAGGGCTATGGTGAGCTGCCCCCCACTCCGGGCCCCAGGACTCCTCTCCCATTGTGTCTGTAACCCAGGAGGCATCAGGGAGGTGGTGGCTCTGACATGACTGGGGCAGGGTGGACGGGAAAGGCATGCTAGAGGTCTTGAATGATCAGGAAGAACTCAGAGGTGCTTACCGCAATGTTCTTAGCAGCATAAGGAGCCTAGCTGTCTGCCAAGGGTGAGGCAGAAGGTCAAAGGGAGGGTATGCTACTACTATTCAGCCCCGGCCGCTGTTGGTCCAGGTTGTACTGATCTCTGGTCCATCTGGTGCCTGGATGGAGGGATGGATGGAGAGAGGGAAGGGTGAGGGGGATGGGCAGATAGACCGGTAGGCAGATGAGGAGGTGGATAAGTGGGGAGATTAAGTGGGGGATTTGGGTGGTATGAGTGAGTGAATGGATCATTGGATGGATAGAGAGATGGCTGAGTGGGTGGGATGGGGGATGGATGGCTAAATGAGTACATAGAAGGATGAATGAATAGATGGGGGTAGATTGGGTGGGTTGTATAAGTGGATGTATAGATGGGATAGGTGGATGGATGGATGGATGGATGGAAAGATAGATAGAAGAATAGATAGGAGGGGAGAGGGATGGATAGGTTGGAGGGTTGGAAGCAATGAGTGGGTATATGAATAAGTGAATGGATGAATGGATGGAATGAATGATGAGTGAATGAATCTATCCCCAGAGAGCCTGCAAAGTCCGAACAGAACTGATTTTAGAGTTTCCCAATTATGGGAATTACCCTTACACAGAGATGGTGGCTAATTCTTGGGCTGACCCATCCCAGTAGCATTCATCTGGCCAAAATATAAAGAAGCAAATAAGGGTTTTGATCCTGTCAGCCAGACAGAGTCACTGTTCATGTGTTTGGAAGATTTTTTTCAAGAGCTTTCTCGATGTCCATAGAGAACCCTGGGATTAAACCTACAGATAGAGTTCTGTATCCAGATTTTTCCATTCACTGTTGCGTCAAGAGTGGGGTTGGGGTTGTACAGACTGTGCATGAATTCCAGCCCCACAGTCTACCAGGCATGTGACACTGAGCCTCAGCTGCTTTGTAGAATGGGGAGGGCCACACACTGCTGACCTCAAAGGTCATGAGCACCACCTGAGACAGATGTTAGGCCCTGCCCTCTGAGGGGAGGAGCCACCTGCAAGCCTATTGAGGGTAGCAAGGTTGGGGAGATCTCCTGTCTCAGCCCATCTTCGCAGCTCCCCCAGACTCTACTCGACCTGTCAGAAACTGGGAGGTGGAGAGCTTACAGAGAGGAGGCAGGACATTCAACCACCCTTGGGCCCTACCAATAATTCGCTGTGTGGCCTCTGGCAAGTCACTGAACCTCTCTGAACCTCAGCTGTGGAATGAGAAGATTGTGCTCCATGAGCATTTCCTAAGCAGTGTTACCAAGTCTAAGAAAATAAGATCATGGGGCCAAATGCTGCACAAGCACAGTTACATGTACTTGTCAGCTGTAGGACTTTTCAGAGGCTTTGATGTGCTACTATGTTGGGGCGGGTTGGGGGGGAAGACAGAAGAAAATGCAGCATATGGAGTCACCAGAATTCATCCCAGAAGCCCATTTTCTCCCCAGGATACCCAAAGGGAATAGTGTGTGGCCAGGGGAGGGACCAGGGGGCCTGACCACAGACACCTCTGCAGTCTTCATTCCTAATGCTTCCTCCCCATTTTTTGTGCTGCAGCCCTTCCCCACAGCTCAAGGCTTCCTGTCCATGCCATACTCTTCATTCTCATCTTCCCCGTGGCTCAAGCTGTTCTGTTCCCTCTACCAGGCCTTCCCCTTTTCCCCTGGCTAATTCCTAGATAAGATTCTGTTCTGGGAGTCCTTCTTCCGGGAAGTCCTCCCTGACCTCCTGGCTGGGTCAGACCTGTCTCTGTTCCTACAATCCCAGTACCATATCTATCAAAGCTCAAGACACACTGCCCGCTACCAGGCTGTCCCTAGAGCACACTGCCCACCAACCTGGGAACCCCCTCCCCAGCCCAGGGCAGGGCCAACTCTGCTTCCTCCCGTGACTCCCATGCCCAGCAGAGCACTGACGCTTGTCTTCTGGGGCTGTCGCCGAGGGAATGAAAGCAGCTGTGCTTGGTGAGGGGCAGGATGGGAAGTTGGAGAGAACAGAATCTCAGTGGCCTCAGGTAGACCCATTAGGACCCTCCCTGGCGTTGGCCCGAGGCCCAGGCTGAGTGTCTGTTCCCTGCAGTGTCTGAAGGGCACACATACAGCCGCTCGAGCCTCAGGATGCGCGATGCCTGCAGCCCTGCTGATGACTGGCCTCCACCCTTGGACCTCAGCTCTGATGGGGACGTGGATGCCACGGTGCTCCGAGAGCTGTACCCGGATTCTCCACCAGGGTAAGGAGACCGTGGGGGAGGAGGGACCATGAGGGTGGAGCTCAGGGCAGGAGCCCTCAGCCCCCATGGGAAACAGCAACACCCCAGATGGTATGAATACAGAAAACATCTGCTCAGTGGGCGCGGCCATCTCACCCCCTCCTGACCAAACAGGTCCCAGCGAGGTGGTGCGTGACTCAGCAGATGTCACCCTGAAACACTTGAAAAGGAAGAAAAAGTTCAGCTCCTTCAGTCTGGGTAAAGAGGTAGGGTAGAGGGCTAGCCCCTTAGTATGAACCCCCAAAGCCCAAGTCATGTCCACTAGGACAGGCATCACTGTGTCCAAACTGTACTTGTGGCCATCATGTGACCCTCTCCCATTGGGGGATTCTTCTCTGGGGAACCTTTGTGTCCTGTCCTGCCAGCCACCTTTCGGCACGTCACCCAGCAGTTAGTACCTGAAAAGAGGATTCCAGGTCTCCATCACTTCCCCACCAGGAGACCTCTTGGGCCCCACAAACAGCCCCATCCTCCCCATCACCCTTTACCCTTTATCCCCCACCCTCAAGAGTCCTGGGAGAGATGAACTTTCCCAGTGGGTGTGTGTTTTTGTGCCCTGCAGCTACAAACTCAGAGGGACTCCTCCCAAACACTAGAAGGACCACTATGGGGAGACTTGAGATCAGGGAGTGTCGGGCAGCCTGAGGCTGGCCCACCAGCACCACCCATGCTCGGAGCCCTGCAGCAGTGGCTACTATTGTTCTGAGCGATCTGAGACCCAGAGTTGGGTGACTTACTCACTCAGGTTCACACAGAACACTGAGGCTGAGTCAGGACCAGAATCCAGGTCCCAGTGATTCTGGGGTGCCCCTCCCCAGGGAGCAGAGGGATTTCGTTGGAGTCCATGTGACAGAGGCCTGGCCTGGTCCGGTCCACACCGGGCAGCCTGTCACTGTGATAGGCCCCAGCCCTCAGGGGAGACTCCTACACCTGCTGCTAGAGCCCATTTGCACAGGGCCCTGAGGGAGCCTCTTCTCTTGCAGTTACGATGAGTGTGTGGGGCCGGGGGCCACTCAGCTGTACGTCCCCACGGATGCCCCGCCCCCCTACTCACTGACCGACTCCTGCCTCGCGCTGGACGGCACCCTGGACACGGGCGGCGGCCACAGCCCTGGGCGACACCAGCAGGCGCAGAGGCTGCAGGGCCAGAATGGCCTCCGCACGGTCTCCATGGACACACTGCCCCCTTACGAGGCCGTGTGTGGGGCCAGCCCCCCAGCGAGCCTGCTGCTGCTGCTGCCGGGACCAGAACCAGGGCCAAGGAGCTCCCAGGGCTCCCCGGCCCCAACCCGGGCCCCGGCCTCCGGCCCAGAGAGGGTTATGTGAGTGACCCAGGCCAGGTCCTGCCGGTCCCTCAGGGCTGAGCCACATCTTTCAGGCACACAGGAAGGCACACGTGCACACATACACACAGATATGCACACATGGCAGCCCCACATGCACACATATACACACAACTTGGACACACACACACAATGACACACCCATGCGAACACTCACATCTGGACATGCCCCATACATGTGCAGACATGTGCACACACACAGCCCCCTCACATCTACACATCCGCATCTGCAAAGGTTTCATTAAAAATGAAGCCTCCAACCTCCAGTCTCCTCCCCAGCCTGTCAGCGATGCCTCTATAGACAATGCTGGGAGCAGAGGCAGAGAAGGGACTAGGGCTTGCTCTGCCCTCCCCCAAGGCCTGTTTGCCCCTGCCCTCCCCTGGCAGGCTGTGTCCAAATTCTGATTCTGCCTCCAGAAGCTGCTCGACCACCCCAGGTCGGCCGCCTGCTCTGCCCCCACCCAGGGCAGCGGGTCCTCCTGGTTGGCGGGACAGGCCTCAGTAAGGTTCCGCTCTATGCCGTACCTATCTCTTAATTCTAGGGCAGAAGAGCCACAACATCACCACCCTGCCATTTACAGGGTGAGGGACATGGGTCTGGGGGCTCAGGCACAACCTGGAGGCCCTCACAGCCCGCCTTGCCCGCTTCCTGTCCCTGTGCCCTCAGTCTGGTGGTGCTAGCGGAGTTCTCTCATCACCTGAGCTGCCGCGAAGGACAGCGCTCTTGGTGGTGGGTCCCACCTGTGCCTGTGTCAGTCCACCCACTGCCCAGGACTGAGGGTCTTCAAAGAAGATGGAGGGCTGCCTGGGTACAGCTGTGAGGCTGAGGAGCGACCCCTCACTAAGTACGTGCCCAGACAACCATTATGGCCTAAGCTTGAATGGGCTGGAGCCAGCCCCCAGTGCTGTCCTCCTGCGTGGTGGCTCGTAGTTGGGAATCGTAAGCCAGCATGTTCTGGCCCTGCCCTCTATGGTGTTTGCAGGGACAAGATAAAGTGGATGTGGGCCCCACTGTGCCACTACGAGAGGAACAGTGGCTACATCTTGGCCTCGCTGCCAGGGGTACCGCAGAAGGGGATATGTGGGCCTGGTTGTAGAGAGGCTCATATTCTTGGCCCCTGAATCCTAGCAATTTCCATCAGAGACCACGCAGGTAACAGAGCTGATTCCTGAAGACCCAGTGGGCCAGAGGGTGGCAGCCATGCGTCTGTGAAGAAAGTCTCCACCAGCATCACCAGCGTCAGAGTCCTCAAATCCCGCCTGCCTCCCTCCCTACCCACTCCTTAAACAATAGCACCCCCCAACCAGCCTCTCCCCCACATTTCAATTCCTCTAACAAAGGGCTAAGACAATTTAGTAATTCCTTTCTTAAGAAGAGGGGTGGCAAGGAAGGCAATCGTGAGTTTTATTTTCTGTAGAAATAGAATTTCTTCTGGTACAGAACTGAAAGGAGTCCACCCAGAGGTTCTGTAGCATCCTGGAGCCCCTGACTCCACCCAGGGGAGGGACCTTGTTTACAAGCAGTTCTGTCCACCTTTGTGGTATACTGTTTTCTAGGCTAAAAAAAAAAAAAAAGTCTGTCTGTTGTACTGTATAGCCTTTAAAATGCACTCCAGGGAAGAGATTCTTTTAAGAAACACATCCAGTTTCTGTAGTCCTAAAGAGTGCCGAGGGGGAAAAAGATAAAAATCCCCATGTGCTCATCAGTCTTTGAAGGACAGAGCTGAACAGCTTTTCTTGTTCCTGGATTAAGCGCTAAATAACCAACGATGTATCTTTTCTGTGTTCAAAATAAATATATCAATAAAAAATGTTGCAAGAAGTAACATGATCAAGGAGCGCATGGTGGGGCTGGTGCCATCTGAAACTTGCAAGGAAAAGAAGCAGAAAATGGCAGCAAACTGAAAATAGGTTATTTCTCTCAAAATTAGCAGCCACTGAAGCCTTGTCATTTTCCTGTTGACACAGATATTTGGGTAGTCAGTGACTTACACGAGTTAATTTTTTTAACCTCCCTGAAACGTGGCATCATTTTTCCAAGACTTGGTCAGGGTAACTGTCGCCAGGATGGGCCATAAACTTCAGGACTTGACTCCAGTAACACCAAGGATTGCACATCTCACTTTGACAGCAGTTGGCTCTCCTTACCCTAATGGCTTTGACTACCGGGAAGCAGGGGAAGGGGGAGGGCGTAATGAGACTGAAATGAATTGTTTTCTCCCTCTGCAGAATTCTCTTCTTGTCTGTGCATTCCGTAAGACCTTGGCTTTGCTTGTTGATCAAGGTACAGCCCCTGTCCCCAGGACCCAATCTGTAACTACCAGCCCCGCTCCAAGCCCACACTGCCACCTGCTGGCTGCCTGCCGCCACTGTTCACAGCAAATGAGTGAGCCCCTGCAGGATGAGCAAACTCCCTTCTCCTGCTTTTAAACCCTCTGCCCAAGGACACCCATAGTTGTAGATAGATCTGGTTTGGGTTCTGGGCTTGTCCTCCACTCTTGAGAAGTCCCATGAGGTTTAAACCATTTAAGCATTTCACTTTCAGGAATCACTTCTGCCTCCTATAATCTCTCTCTGGGCACAGCCTGATACCTAAGCCCTTTTCACTGTATACAAAACAGTCACTCCCCCATCCTAGACACCACTGTGCCTGGCTCAGGTGCCACCTCCATGCTCTGAGGCCCCTGCTCCTGGAAATAAATGTAGCAGCCTTCATGATAATGGTGCCCAGCCACGTGCTGGCCCCAACCTGAACCAACCCCACACTGACACCTAGTTCCAACAACAAACAACATTCGGGATCCCATTGGCCCGGGGGACTGTCAGTCTCAGTGTTTTCCACCTCATCTATCCATGACGTGCTCTGTAACCACTGTGACACACTATGGCGTGTTCACATACGGCACCACATCCGAGGTCCCTACAAGACTGATCTTTCTCTGCCAAGGCCTTGAGGGGTCAGGCTGAGGAGAGCACCCAGGGCAGCAGGGCTCAGCCCCGGGCTCGTCAGGGCCCCAAGGAGTTGGGAGGTAAAGCCAGAGTCTCAGGACAGTGGGAAAAGGAGGAGGGGCAGGACCAAACACTGGGACAGGATGTGGGTGCAAGGGGTTGATGAGGGAGGTGACCCCAGGAGCACCACTAGGCAGTGGGCAGTGACCCAGGAAGGGAAGGAAGCCCAGGCAGGGTGGGCAGGCTGTTACCAAGCATGTAGCCACTGTGGGCAACTGAGCTCCACCTCCTGGGCAACTCTGTGAGACAGTGTGGAGCACGCCTCACAGTTAGCCACCTAAGTGGCAGGGTGGGGGATGCATTATTCATACAATGACTCTCAGTCCCTCAAGGGTCATTGTATGAGGTTGTTCTTCGGAGAATGTTAATCCCTGCCCCTCGTGGTGCCGAGCAGGCCCTCTGGCCAGAGAAAGTCTCCAGGCAGGAGACTTGCAGCTGCTGGCTGATGACGCCGCCACCAAGGTTAGCACAAGCTGGCCCGGGGCCAGTTTGCATGGGCACAGCGCGTCCCAGGGCCTCTGGACGGGGTACCCACAGCATCTGCCACACGTGGGCAGCAGGAATCACCCAGAAGAGGAAGGAAGGGGGCTTGATACTAAGCGTGGCTGTCCACAGCCGCCCCTCCACTGGCCCGTGCAGGGGTCTCTCACACCAAGTTTCGGGCCCTTGGACACACTCATGCACAGCATCACTCAGCTCACAGCACCTGCGGTTTGTCCACATTTGCTCAGATGGCTTCAGTGCACACACAGTAGTGCCTCTCACACTCAGAGCTCAGGTAGTCCCACAATCACACTCCTAGGCCACCCACTCTCACACTCAGGTGTCACCATCGGTGTCCCCTTGACAACTGACCATTTGGAAGTACGAGCAGTGGAAGGACAGGCAACTTCCTCTGAGAGAGTGAATCTTCTGTCCCGGGCTCTGCTCTGTTTGACCTCGCGGTGCAGCTCCTCCAGCCCAGGTGAACTCTCTCAGTCAGGACCAGTTGGCTAGGGCAGGCCCGTGTGTTTGTTGCTGGGCTGGGGGGCTGGGCACTTTCTTCCCCCAAGGATTGCAGCCCAGCTGTGCCTGCTTGGCATCTTTCCAAGGAACTCCAGGTCTGCAGGGCCTCAGGCCCTGTGATCACAGTCTCAGCCAGACCACAGCTATGCGTCCTCACCAGCCTGACCCCTGGGGTTCCTGGGGCTGCCCATCCTTCTGCCCTGTAGCTGGAGGCTGCCTGGTCCATGAACCACAAAGTTGGTACCACCTGGTGCCTGGTGACCTGGACTAGTTACCTAACCTTGCTGAGATTCAGGACCAGATGAGCTACTGGGTATGAAAGAGTAGCATCCCCAACATCAGACCTAAGATGACTAATTCTATCACTCACAGGAAATCCATTCTCAAGTAGCGCTGTGGTTGGTAAGTAAGTTCCCAATCAGAGGGATAGAAACCGCCCTGGCCACTGAGCTCCGAAAACGCTGCAAAGAGACGCCATGTATGATGAGCCCAGGCCTGAGGCAGCTCCAAGGTGAAGCACCAGCCAGATGCCCCTCCTGGTGATTGGAGGGGCAGGAGGCCAGCAGAGGCTCACAGAAAGCAAATGATGGCAAAGACCCAAGTCTTCTTGGGTTGTGTTACTGCAAGGTCAGAGCCAGCTCCTGCACCACCAACGCCCCTTCAGCTGGGCTCTCCGGGCTGTGAGCCACCCAAGGGCAGCTGCTTTGTCTCATTTGCCTCTGAAGACCCCAGGCTGTCTGCTCCAGGGCAGCACTTCCCCAAGCACTAGACGATAGCATATAAAGAACTCCTCAACCCCGTCCAAGAAGTTGGGAAATAGTGCATGGGTTGCCGCCTCCTAGAAATTCACACCCTTGATGAGCTGCTACAGGAGAAGTCCTGAAGTCAAGAAGCCCAAGGACCTTGCTTAACCCAGCGGTTCCCAAATGCATTTGGCCACAGAAAATTTTTACTCACATAAGACTGATTAATGAGCCCCAAACAAATGCTCTTCCCTGGAGCACACTTTGAGAAATGCTGACCCACATGGAAGGAATGAGTCACCGAATGGCTGAATGAATGAGTGAATCATCACTGAATTAAGCAGTGGGTGAATGGAAGGAAGGAAGGAAGGCAGGAAGAAAGGAAGGGAAGAGGAAGGGGGGATGGGGAAGGAAGAAAGCGGTGGATGCAGGGGAGGTTAGATGGGAGAGTGCATAGGTGATTGTGTCCATCCCAGTCCTCCCAAATCTGTCCCTGACACAAGATCTGGGTGTAAATCATTTACTTGGGAGGTGATCCCAGGAAAACACAGTGAAGGAGTTGGGAATTAAGACAAGGGAGGAAGAAGAGTCAACAAAGATGCATTAATGAGCAGGTCATTGTTATGGGTGACCGGGGCGAAGCCCACTGGATCCTCTGAAAGACAGCCTAGGCTACACCTCAGAAGCACCCCACCAAGAGCAGGAAGCCAGGCTTCATATCCACTGGTTGAGAGTTGCCTCTGGGTGTTAACTCTCTGGCACTTGCAGCCTGCTCTGCACACCAGCCAGAGAAGATTCTCAAACATGAGGCATAAAAGCCTTCACAGTGACATCTAGGGTGGGATGAGGGCCCTGGGTAATACCAGCAGTGACTGCTGCAGGGAGGGTGGAAGGATGCCTGGCTCTGACGTGCTCTCCCATTTGCTCCCGGGGCAAGGCAAGGACCCAGCTGACCTCCACTCTGCTCTGCGGGGAGGAGAGGGAGACGGGGAGCTGAGCACAGCCCCAGCCACCTCCAGAGTGACAAGCAGTGGCAGTCCACTCCGTGTATAGCTTTCTCTTTTGCTGACACAACTTCCTCCTCAGCTTCCTGATTACGAGTTGGGGCAGGACAGCCTGGGCCTGGCCGGGAGAGGCCCACAGTACTCTCATCCACGTCCAGGCCCTCAGGGGGCACCATGAGCTGGCCCCGACCCCCAGGTCCAGACGAGGATGCTCCTGAGACCCTCCTGGACGACCTCATCAGCTACTACATGGATGGGGCAGGGGAGGGCTGGCTCAGGGTCTGCAGGCAAGGAGCCCTCACCCACAGGGCCCAGCGGCTCCTGGGTACAGTGGCCCCTCCTCAGCTCTTTCTGCCTGAGGCTATGGACTCTGATCTGGGGGCCACTCATCCCCAGGGGGCTCCCAGCTCTGCCCAGCACATCTGCCACGAACTGGTGCGGGCACTGGAGTTCCTGGAACTAATCTCCATCAACCTACTTCTGTTTCCCTGGAGGAAGGAAATCAGGTCCCTGAAGGTAGGCACCACCACACCCCTGAGCAAGGGGGATCTCGGGTAGGGGCCAGGCTCTGCCTCCCGGGGGGAAAGTGTGTCCATCATGCCCACTGGCCTTGGTCCCAATTTACAGTTGGAGAAACTGAGGGCTAAGGAGGTTAATGCAACTTATCTATGGTCATCAGCTAGTAAGCAGCGCCAAAAGGACTCAAACTCGGGCAATGCAGATCCTAACCACTAGGCTATACTGCCTATCTAAAGAGATGGCACCAAGGAGCTCATAAGGAACAAGAGAAAGAGTTCGGCTGTGGAAAGCCACTAGAAAGGCTTATTCTCTTCTGGCTCCAGGTCAGGATTGCTGGGAACTCAGTCATTCTCTTGCTGTGTAACTTGAGACAGAGGTCCTGATTCTGGGCCTCAGTGTGTGCCCTTCTGTAAAATGGGACCAAGTTTCCATGTGGCCCAATGCCCTGGCCCACCTGCTTCTCAGGAGCCTCCCTTGGCCCTGGGCATCAGCTCTTGTCCTGCCTAGCCCCTTGAAGCCACTCTGCTGAGATGTATCCCACTGTAATGAACACCCCTGTTTGTTTCAGACATACACGGGGAACTTTGCCTACTGGGTGCGGCCCGTGCTTTCTGAACACACAGTGCACACCATTCTGGGCAGGCTGGGCTACATGGCCACCTCCGAGGCCGAGTTTTCACTGGTCCAGGCCGTCAGCGAGGAGGACGCCAAACAGGTGGTATTTGAGATCTTCCTGACAAGAGTCGCATGTGAGACCGTTCTCCAAACCCCAGGTGGGCAGGACCTAGGGCCGGACCAAGAGAAAGTGGCCGGGCCCCACTGCAGGTGCACCTCAGAGAGAGGGCGGGCGAAGACCCACAACGGCCTCCAGGAGGCCTGTCCAAGCCCAGGCCGCTCCGCAGGGGCAGGGACCGAGAGGGCACTGGCTGAGAGCCCTGATGGTCCGTGCACTCTGCTTGCGGCCTTGAGCCTGCCTGAAGTCTCCATAGCACCCCGCAGACCCCTCACTGGCCCCCTGGCCTCCTGGGGCCCCCAGAGCCAGGCCAGCACACACTTGGACAGTGAAGAGTTCCTGACCTGCTACAGCGACCTTGTGCTGCGCCGGACACCTTTGTTCCCCAGGGACCATCCCCTGAGCCACCTGAAGGGAGACCAACTCCAGGGCCCAGGCCTGGGGCCCAGCCCACCTTCAGAGGAGGGGGTGGCCCCCACAGGTAGCCATGGCGGGGAGTCCCTGATTCCCAATACAGCTTCAGAGAGCAAAGGAGTCACCATTCCCAGCCAGCTCTGCCTGACACCAGGCCCCCAGTTGTCAGAGAATTCCTGGGACCCAAAGCTAGACGTGCAGCCGGAGCTGGCCGCCCCCGGCACAGACACTACTCTTCCAAGTGCTTCCTCAGAGATGGACGAGCTGTGTGAGCAACTGGCCCACTTCCTCAAACTCCCAACTGCAGCAGGCCATCCTGGGGGCTCTCCAGGCCCGGGGGAAGAGGAGAACAGACAACCAGAGCCTCTGGTGGGGCCAGAGCCGGCCAGTGAGAGTGGCTGTCCGGGCAGTAGCGTCGCTCAGCTCTGGAGGTCTCCTCAGACCCCCTCTTCTGCACAAGAGCCCCCAGTGCTCATTGTGTCCCCCCAGAGGGGCTGGAGGTGCCAGCTCCCATGGGAGGATTCTACACAAGCACCAGCTGAGGATGTCACCCCTGGATGGCATAGGGGCAGTCACCCTGACTAAGCAGATTGCTCTTCTGCCAAAAAGGTAACCATGTGGAGAGGTGGTAGATCTGAGACGACAGTTGGGGAAACAGCAGCCAAACCCACAGCTTGTCAGGCACAGGGACCAATCTGCTAATCCCCGCTGGTCTCAGGCCCCAGCCCTGCCTCCTGCTGACTGTGTGACTTTTGGCCACTCACTCCACCTCTCTGAGCCACATTTCCTCATCTGTAAAGTGGATGTGGTGTCAGGCATAATGAAGTGAGTTGTGCACAGTGCCGACCTCAGAGGGCTTTCTGTCCCCTTCACATCCCAGCTCAGTGTATGATCTTGGGTGAGTCATCTGGTATCTCTGAACAGCAGTTTCCCTCAGCATCCTTAAGGCACCTGTCACGGGGCAGATTAAAAGAGAAGAGACATGTAATATGTGTAATACACAGATGTGTAATACACCTTTAATCTGTTTAGGGCCCATTGTCACCTCCCTTTTCTCTAAGCTAACTTCTGGTTGATGGAGAACAAGGCCACAGTTGCGAGCCTGGGGTTAGCTCACAGGCCTGCCTGCATCCAGGGTGGGAGGCTCTACCATCTGGGCTGCCTGGAGTTGGGCAGGGGGCGCCACCTGCCTCTCCTGCCCCCACATATGCACACATGCAGGCACACTTGCACACAGGTGGGCATGTCCAGGCATGTACACGCACACCCTTAGGCATTCCTCGTGGGGTCCCCAAGAGACGGTGTCCTCCTCCTCCTCCAGCCAAGACCCTCTCTATAGGGTGGCAGGTGGCACCTGCCCAAGGGCAGCCCCTCGGCTTCCCATCTGTGAAGTAGGGAGGATGGCCCCTGCCTCCCAGGGTGGTGGTAAGCAGTAAAGAGTACATTGGTAAAGGCTCCTTCTGGGCATACAGCAGGTGCTTAATGTTTGTGCCTGCCTTGCTCTCCCTGGAGCTGAGTGTATGACCCCACCATTTTTAGCCAGAAGACTGAGGGCCACAGGTGGGAAGGATTTAAGGGGTGTTGGCCCTGCCTCCCTCAGTCAGACAGCTGGCCTCTGAGCCAGCCCCTCCACAGGCTTTTTGAGACAGATCAGGAAGCAGTCTGCTCTGTGGGGAGAGAAGCATACTGGTCAGTCATCCATCCACCCGTCCATCAGTCCATCCATCCATCCACCCACCCACCCCAATTACTCAGCACAGCACCAGCAGTCAGCACTCAAGCTGCTGAGTTGCCAGTGTCTGGGGCCTGGTGGGAAGAGGGGCATCCTGGGGAAGGAGAAGGTCAGGAACTGGCTGGGCTGGAGACAGAGTGGGTCAGGAACCTCAGGAGAAGGGATGAGGCAATGGAGAGATGGGTGGCCAGGGAAGGCCTCTCTGAGGAGGTGACATGTTGTGAAGAACATATATTAGATCCTAGAAGTGGGGTTGCTGGACCACAATGTTAAGTGCATATTTGTACTTGTTATCAAATTTCCCTCCAGAAGGGTGGTACAAATCTGCATGCCCACCAGAAATGTATGTTGTGTGTGTGTACACGTGTGTGTGGGTATTTTGGGGGGGCTATTCTGGTAATATGTCAGTGTTCTTTTAATTTTCTGCTTAGTCTATTTGGGCTGCTATAAAAAATCACAGGTTGGGTGGCTTATAAACAACAGAAATTTGTATCTCATAGTTCTGGCGGCTGGAAGTCCAAGACCAGGAGGCCAGCATGGTCAGGTTCTGATGAAGGCTCTCTTCCAGACTGCAGATGGCTGGCTTGCTGCTGTGTCCTCACGTGGTGAAAGGAGCTTGGAAGCTCTGTGGGGTCTCTTTTATAAGAACACTAATTCCACTCACAAGGGTCCACCCTCATGACCTAATCACCTCCCAGAGACCCCCATCTTCTAATACCATCACCTTGGACATTAGGTTTTCAACATATAAATTTAGGGGAGACACAAATATTCAGATAGAACAGAAACTGCATTTCTCAGAGTGAATTTGAATATTTATATATGTCTAAGGGCCATTTTCGTATCTTTTTTGTAAATTGTCTGTTTGGGTCTTTTTCTCATTTTTCTATTAGAGTTTTGGTCCTTCGTCTATTTTAAAAGAATTCTTCATGGATATTAGCTGTTCGACTGCGTTATGTGTTGTAAACATTTTCTCCCAGTTTGTCAATTGTCTTTTGACTTTGTTATCCGGTGGTTTTTGTCACATACATTTAAATTTTTTTATTTAGTCAAATGTATCAATCTTTTAGAACTCCGGGATTTTCAATCAGTTAGAAAGTGCTCCCTACATCGAGGTTTTAAAGAATTCATTCATTCTTCTAATACTTGCATGGTTTATTTTCTTTTTTTTTTTTTTTTTTTTTATTTTA